AAACTGCTCTCTCGTGGCTCTGCACGCGTAACTTCTGCTTCTGTTATGTGTTTGTTTAATAAATATCATCATGTGCTTATTGCAGAAAGTACAACTCAAAAAATGATGCTCTTCCTCAATATTTCTGTCTTGTTTTCCAGTGCAAATATCCAAACATCCTTAAATCAAGAAACATTTACTGGAGATTTGAAGTGATCGAAGATATTAAGACTTGTTTGCTGAAAAATTTATGAAAATGAAGTGAGTTTATGATTAAAACAAGAACAAATCTGTCAGTGGGGTCAGAATGATCCACTTATTTTCCATTTGGATTAAGTAGATTTTTTTCTTGATATTTTTTCTTGTTTTAAGCATAAACTCACTTCAGTTTATACATTTTTCAGAAAACAAGACTTCATATCTTAAGTCAATTTACGTCATTAGTAAAAGTATCTTGATTTAAGAATGTTTAGAGACTGTAAATCTTCATGTCATGTGTGTGTGATTTTCTGCTTAGGGAGCCGATCGGTGTGTGTGTGTGTGTGTGTGTGTGTCTGTGTGAGTGTGAGAGTGTGTGTGAGAGTGTGTGTGTGTGTGTGTGTGTGTGTGAGTATGAGTGTGAGAGTGTGAGAGTGTGTGAGTGTGTGTGTGTGTGTGTAGTGCTGCAGATTCAGCTCTCGGCCAGTGCTAATGTTTCATGTGTAATGTATTATTGTGGAGGCTGTGAGATGAACAGGTTTTTAAGCGGGCTCTTTCGTTGTGTCATATCAGGTGTAATAGAGAGAGTCTCTCTGAGCCGTCCTCAGTGTCTTGCAGCAGAATTCACGTCACACTCTCTCCAGCTCTCAGGAATGACCTTTAGTCTGAGAAACAATCGCAGAGATCCGGCAACTTCACTTCAGATGACTGTGTAATTGAAAAGCATGGCAGGAGTTTCTCTGGGTCTCGGCAGAGAATGACATCTGACATCGCTCGGCTTGACTCGGTTTTTCTCCTTGAATTCAGCACGACTCTCAACTCTCACAACCTGCATTCAAACTACTCAGACATATCTTTAATACAGCCTATTTCATTGTCAATTACACAGTTTTTTTCTCCATGATGTTGTTTTGCACTTTCAGCATTTTGCAGCGCTGCTGATTGAACTAATGAGGTAACAGACTAGTTTTAGATAGCGTCATGGAGGGAGTGATGGGTTTGTTGACCATCTATCATCTTTAACAGTTGTGTTTTGTTTGGATACAATTTTTACAGAAATTCATAATATTAATGTGTCTATTGTCTAAGTAAAAAGAAAAATTGAGGATCTTAAACACTTTTTTTCAGTCCCCATGTGACATGATTGCAAATGACAAAGAAATTGTTCCAAAAACTCACTACTTACAATTACTGCATGTCCTTTTTTT